TGATGACACATGGCGGGAAGGTGACGGGAGGGCCTTGCTGGACTCTTCTTGGAGTCCGTCCCGGTGCTCGGGACGCGCCCAGCGCTCTGCATGAACCAGCCCGTCCGACCTCACAGTGACCCTGTGAGTAAGTGCCGTTACCATTTCCGCCGCCCGGACGGGGGAGTTCGGAGCACAGAGGTGCCCTCCGAGGGCGTGAGAGCCGAGGGCTGGGCTGGGATTGCGGGCAAAACTCGTCCGGGTCCTGCTCAGTTGCCAGCCGGGCGCGTGTCCGTGCTCCTTCGGGTGTTTCACGTCGCTGATATGATACGTCCGTGTACTTTTCTATCCCACTTTTTTTATTGCTTTGCATGACTCAGAAGTCCTTTTTTTATACCATTAAAAATGTGCGTGGGCCAGGTGTGGTGGCTCACACCTGTAATCCCAGCATTTTGAGAGACTGAAGAGGAGGACTGCTTGAGCCTGGGAGTTGGAGACCAACCTAGGCGATCTGGTGAGACCTCATCTCCACAAAAAACCCAAAAACTAGCTGGGCGTGGTGGTGCCTGCCTACAGGGCCCGCTACTCGGGAGGCTGAGGAGAGAGGATCACTGGAGCCCAGGAGGTCAAGGCTGCGGTGAGCTGTGATCGCGCCACTGTGTGCCAGTCTGGGCAACAGAGTGAGACCCTAACAACAGGAAAAAAACCTGGGCAACTCCCTGGGGTCCCCTCCCACTGCGGGAGCTTTTCTGTCCTCTCAATAAATCCTGCTTTTAAAAAAAAGCCTGAGCCGGGCTTGGTGGCTCAGCCTATAATCCCGCACCTTGGGAGGCTGAGGTGAGTGGATTGCCTGAGCCCGCAGGTTCAAGACCCGCCTGGGCAACTTGGCGAGACCTCATCTCTATAGTAAGTCAGAAATTATCCGGGCGTGGCAGCGCGTGCCTGTAGCTCCAGCTACTCGGAAGGCTGAGGCGGAAGGATGGCCGGAGCCCAGCAGGTCGAGGCTGCGGTGGCCGGGAGCGGCCCCTGCACGCCAGTCTGGGTGACGGAGTGAGACTCCAACTCAAAAAAAAAAGCCTGTTTAGGTGATCCTATGGGGAAGAGACAGTCAGATAGTCCGAATGTGAATGTGGGTGGGCTGCAGAGGACAGCGGCAGGGAAGCGGAGGGAGGGCCCGGTCCTGTCACACTCACGTCGGGTCCTACCATAGCCGGTGATGGTGTAGACAGGGAAACGGAGGCCTGGAGGCCAAGCACATGCTTGAGGTCCTAACGGCAGAGCCCGGGTTGGGCC